GAGAACACTGGGAACCGGCAAGGTCGGAAGGGAACGCTGAAGAGAAGCAACACCCATTGGCAGCGACTTACGGAGGCTTTCGAGCCCGTCTGACCGCAGGATTACCAAAGTAGCCGAGGAGCCTCCTTTTTTTTTTTCTTTTTCTTTTGTTTTGCCAGCCAAGCCATTCACTTCCAGTTCGGGCAATCCGATAGAGCGACATACCTGTGGACTAGAGAGCTACAGCACGAAAATCAAAGAGGCGAGCGCCTTCTCTGTGGCTTTCTAAGCACCTGGGCGGAGGAGACCAGACGCAGAGTAAAAGGTGGGGAGGGGGGGGAGTATAGGCTCTGCTACACATTACCGCCAAGCACTGCTGAAAGCCACAGAAGCCAGAAACAGCCCCGAGACCTGACGGCGGTACTAGAGCACGTCGGAGAAAGAGGTGGGGAGAGAAACGGCGGTGTCTCGTTGACAGTCCCGCCTGTCCGGACTCCCCAGTTCCCAGCATGCAACGCGCCGCAGTTTGAATGGCGCTGCTGGGTACGGCGACTGGGCCGCGGTGTTAGGACGCCGCCGACGCCGCCGCCGCTGCTGCCAAATTCCACGGCTGGCACTGGAGGCCCGGGCAGCGGCAGAACCCCTGGCGCGCTGGACCATGAGCGGCAGCAGGTGAGCGAACGCCGTTGCCAGGCGCTTCTCGAAGGGGGGGCGGCGGCGGCGGCGGCCACGCTGCTGCATCCCGCGCTCTGGCCACGCAGGCCGGGCTCAGGTTGTAAAGCGGGGTTGCCGTTTGGGAACGTGTCGGTGGCGCCCTTTTCTCTGCGCTCGCCGTTCTTTGCTCTTCCTGGTGCGGGGTGATTTTTTTCTGGGCGCCTCCAAGCAAGGAGGCCCATCTTTTGCTGACTCTGTTGGCAGGAGTCTTCCTGGGCGGGGATATGAAGTTGGCTAGTCTCTACCTGCCTCTGAACCACCCCCTTAAGTGGTGCTTGTTGGGAAGGCTGCACCTGCCCCGGGTTGCTCGAGGAAAGATTTCCCCCGGTAGGAATTCTCTCTCAGGTTTGGCTTTGAAATAGACTCGGCAGTTTCTCAACCTTGACAATTTTAAGGCATGTGGACTTCAACTCCCAGAATTCCACAGCCAGCAATGCTGGCTGTGGAATTCTGGGAGTTGAAGTCCACATGCCTTAAAATTGTCAAGGTTGAGAAACACTGAAATAGAGAAACGTCTTAATACCATCAGCGTTAAGTCTTTCTCATGCTGAAAAGTCTGAAGAATGAAAAATGGTTCTAATTATTCTAGGTTTTTTTTTCCAGACTACTTGGCTTTGTTTTCATAAAAGCATCTGGACTTTGGATGCCCAGAGTCTCTTAAAGCTGACTTTCTGCCACTTAACAAGAGTGAAGTCCTATTTGTGTGAATGGAATGGAATGAGCTTCTGAGTAAGCATGCTTAGGATTGCATCGGTGTGACTTTTCACATCCCATGATCATTTATGAAATTTTGCTACCACTCTGTATTGCAAAATTCCACTCTGTCCAAAATCTTTTTTTTTTTTCAAAGCAAAAAATGCACATGTGGATCCTTGATGTTGAGAATTTAAATATGGAAATATTGTTATTGAGTAGTAATTTAGGTATAGGATAAAAGCCCCTGGCTAACTTAAAGTTATTTGAAGACGTATTTGCAGATGGATTTTGTCTGCTTAATAGTGAGAGATCAAAGTGGAAATGCTGCTGAAGATAAATTATAAATCTTAAATGTTTCTAAATTACTAATCCCAGCAGGTCAAGCCCAATCAGCATTGCCAATAAAGATGCTGGGATAAGTCATAAAAAGAGCCAGTTTTGTCTAGGGTTAAGGCATCATCCTAGAAAACTGGAGTTCAAATCTGGCCTTAGCCATATAAGTCAGCTGGGTGACTTTGTGCCAATAATCTCTCTTAAGCCCAACCCACACACAAAATAATTGTTGTGGGGAAAATAGGAGAATAATGTGTGTTGGATATGTTTGCTTCCTTGGGTTATATGTAAAAATAACAAAGGTGAGATACAAATAAAAAAATAAAATAACCATACCTACAGTAGTGATAGTATGACAGTGCAGAATATGAATTAAATCTGTCTCCAGAATTCCTTCTTGGTCTCTAAAAGAGAGACCATGTATCATAAAGAGAAAAACGACCAAGAAATAGAAATAACAAACAGAAATGCAAGAGGATATGCTTTTTGGGAAAACGGTAATTACGGTAGGTACATTTCAGGAACCAGAATATATAAAGTACTACCTCCTTGCATCTGAAGCTATAGATCAATTGGAGCTGTTATTGAAGTACCATAAAATAAGACCACCTCCCTCAAAGGCTTCATAAGAGGAGTTTTCTCATAATAGAGGCTCGGCTGATTATTTAGTTGGCTTTTAGGTAAATTCTTGTTTTCAGGTGGGTTGCTAATTGCTTTTTTTAAAAGCAAGGTTGCTTATTGTGAATGGCCTTAAGGGCCAAATGTTGATGCATAGATTTTCTACAAATAAAATATTTTCCCTTAACTATTCTGCTTCACATCTTAGAGACTGGCAATAGATATATAGAAAGTAATCCTTTAAGCCACTTTACAGCAAGGCTTGAACTTATACCACATCACTTTAATTATGTTGGCTGGACCTCACTGACTCTTTAGAACCGAGTGTTTGGGTATTAGCTAATTCTACATGTAGATCCAGAGTATGACATTTAATATGTGTGTGTATCATCTAGATACCTCTTGCCTATCCCAGGGTATTTGCCATGTTATAATTTTTCCTTCACTTCAGAAGCCCATACCCTATATATCATTTTTTTTCTTAGCTGTGTTTCCCCTCTCCCCATGCAACATTTTGTATATACAGAGATATTGACTGATTCATACAATGAGGACTTCCCCTTTTTTATCTGATTATTTCATTTATATAATTTTTAGTTTGCTTTCTGTCATCCCAAAGATTTGAGCCATTGTAGCTTACCATTTTGTGTGAATCAGACCATTGTGACTTGTTCAGCTACAAAGTAATGCTCAATTACTGGTGACTTCATTAATATGTCCATATAGTATTCCTGATACATTCTTGCAGGTGCAGCCCTGGTGTTCTGGTGGTATCCCATTTTAGTACTAACCAATTCAGATCCTGCTTTGATTTTTGAGATCAGCCATGTGCTGCCAAACAAAACAGGGTTTTGTTTTGAAAAGTGAAGTATTATGTTGTAATTGAAAATAGTAACACTCCTTAGATATTCAGATTAGTAAGAAAATTGGTGTTGCAGTCCTGTTTGTACTTATCTGACAATGAGTCCAATGGGACTTTTGATCATCTATGCAGTCCTGTCACTCTTACCTAAAAATAAGTTACATTGAACACAGTGGATTTCTGGATAAACCTGGATAGCATATTCTGCTAACTGAACGTTCTGTTTCATTATAAGAGGTGAATAGATATGCTCCATTTTTACTGAGTCTGAAACATACCCTATTAAGTAAAAATGGTGTAAACGAAGGTTTGTGTACTACTGATAAAAGTTGCTGGTAAGTATCTTCACTATTACAGCATACTGCAATGTGTAATGATAATTCTTTTGGTACACTGTTGAGGGTTTGCATTCTAATAGCTAACATTTTAAAAAAAACTGTAGGCCATGAGAAGATAATCCAAATTTCACTGAACTAAAGTTTTATAATAGCTATCATTTGAACTCCTCTGTAATCCAACTGATTAAAACTAGGAAAAAAGAGAGTTGCTTTATTTTTGAGCAAAGTCCTAGATGGTCAGAGTCTCCAGACATGCAAATTGAGCATTATGGAGTACAAGGAGTAGTTGTACTAGGAGCTGTCCCAAGCTTGATGGGAAGAAGGAACAAACACATTCCAGATTCTAAAATCAAAACTGTTTGCATCCTCTACAACATGCACAAGTCACTTGGCTTGTGGAATGCAGAGTAGAAATCAATTATTTTAATGTTAATGAAGTTGGTAATAATTAAACTTGCTGTATTAGAAACAAAGATAAATTGGGTAGGATTAGCTAGTATTGGGAGGGAATTTGAGGATATGAAATCCTCTTTCTCCTTATGGTTTAACAGATTAAAGTCAGTTTTTTCTCATTTCTAATAATTTAGGTTTGATACCATTTTTTCTTGTTCTCTTTCAGGAGTTTGTCGAATTACTTTTGACATTTTTTTAGAAAATTGTAATTTAATAATTGATATCTTTAAGCTTTATATAGCTCATGAAGAAACATTAATATTTCATACCTTATTGTAACTATCACAAGAACTAATGATAATGTGCAAGTGGCTCTCGTAAAATATCTGGGTTTTTCCCCACGATTAAAGCACCCTGTACACATCCTTGAGTTGACACAAAACAATGCTGGCATAAAATGTGCTATTCCTATTGCAAATCCCTATCCCACTATTGCATTTGTTATGAATTACTGCTGATTGATTTTACTTAGAGTGTGAGCGCACTACTTGTTAATGAGAAGGTGATTGATTTCCCTACCATCTGCCCCATCTTTACTCCTTTCCCCCAGCATGTCTCTTGCCAAAGGGGCCTGCTTCATGAATTGGCTGAGCCACTCTATCTCCCAAGTTAAAAATATGTGAAATAAAGAAATACATGGAAAGACAACAAAGCGGAAATAACCCTAGAGGGGAGGGAGGCAGACATAGTTATGAATTATCTGCTGGAAGTTGGGTGACATAAATTTAATAAATTACTGTGTGAATATGTAATAAATATATTACTCCTGGTGACTGCCCAGAGACTATCCCCTGCAGTTTTCTTGATAAGATTTTTGGAGGTGTTTTGCCATTGCCTTCTTTCTAGCGCTGACAGAGAGTGACTAATCCAGAGTCCACATCTTTGTATGTAAGGCAAGATTAGAACTCATGGTCTCCTGGTTTCTAACCTGATGTCTAACCACTATACCAAATTGCAAGTAACTAATTTTTGTGGCATGGGATAACAGAAATATATCCCTCTACTTTTCCAAATTAACCTCTGCTTTGCTTGCCTCTACCTCATTAAAAACCTAGAGAGAAATTGATTAGAGAATTGATGGGGGGGATGGAAGGGAAAGAATGCAATTATGAAAGGATCTCAGGAGCATCAGACAATGGAAGAGGAATTGCTGTGGCAGAGACTGCTAGTGTCTAGAGGGGATTGCATGTCTCTACCTCCTAGAATTTCAAAAAAAAAACCCCAAACACTTTTGGTACTGAAGAGGTCACCTGACTTAAAAATAGGTGAGGGAGTGGAAGAAACCTTACAAAGTGACAGATTTTATATACCATAGTGGTGAGACACAGGTAGTCCTCAATTTACAGCCACAGCTGGGACTGGAATGTAGGTTGTTGAGTGACGTGGTTGTTAAGCAAAAAGCCATGTTGCTTCCCATCTGACGGGACTCCTGGTTGTGGTCATTAAGCAGGATTTTCAGTCCCTGCTGAGTGGAGATATATTTGTGTGTGACCTGCACTGGACCTCCCAAGGCCTTGCCCAACCTGAGGCATCCCATGGATCATTCCTTACCACACTGCCTCTAAGCTCGGGAGCTGAAAATCTTCCTTGTCAAAATCTATGGAGGATTTTCAGCCCCTGAGCAAAGAGATCCTCATGGATGGCCTCTTCCAGGCCTCCCCACCCGCCTGAGACACCCTGCGCTTCTTACCTTACTGGACTGCCTCTCCGCTCTCTGTTTGGTTTTCGTCTCTCTCTTGCCTCTGGATTTGAGCTTCCTGCACCCCACTGAAGGAATTCAGCTCTTCTCCATGCCAGAAGAGAATTCCTTTGGCGGGGTACAGGAACAGAGCTCAAATCTTCAGGATTAGAGCTCTGTTTTTCCACCCCATCAAAGGGAGCTCAGTTTCTTTTAGGAGGCAGCTCTTTCAGCCAGCCCTCAGAGACAAGAGGGAATCCAGGCGGTAGCAGCTAGCTGTTTTTCCTGCCAGCTTCTGTATTGACTTTGACGAAGCTGGCAGAGAAGATTGGAAATGGCCATTGCATGATCACAGGGCATTTGGCAGTTTGTTGTAAGTGTGAGGAGGTTGCCAAGTTCTTTTTTTTTTTTTTTAATTTTTTATTGATTTTTCATTGAAAAACAAAAACATAAATCTTTTATCACAATATCAACCAAAAAAAGAATCAACACCAATCAATACATTCACGGACGCGTCCGGTGTACCCCTCCTGCACCACCTTCTCACTTGCCTAGACCTTCCTCCTCGCATCCTACCTCCACTCCTCCTTCCTCCCTCTTTCCTACCTCCCTTTCCCCCTTGGAGGTTGCCAAGTTCTTTAACAAAGAGAAGGACGAGGGGAGACATGATAGCAATGTTCCAATATCTCAGGAGCTGCCATAAAGAAGAAGGAGTCAAGCTATTTTCCAAAGCGCCTGAAGGTAGGACAAGAAGCAAAGGGTGGAAACTAATCAAGGAGAGAAGCAACCTAGAACTAAGGAGAAACTTCCTGACACTTAGAACAATTAACCAGTGGAACAACCTGCCTCCAGAAGCGGTGAATGCTCCAACACTGGAAGTTTTTAAGAAGAGACTGGACAGCCATTTGTCCGAAATAGTATAGGATTCCTGCCTGAGCAGGGGGTTGGACTAGATGACCTTCAAGCTTCCTTCCAACTTTACTATTATTATTATTATTATTATTATTATTATTATTATTATTATTATTATTATTATTATTATTATTATTATTATTATTATTATTATTATTTGTTGTTGTTGTTGTTGTTGTTGTTGTTGTTGTTGTTATTTACCCAGATTGCAATCACATGACCAAGGGGATGGTGGTGCATCATTTTGTGATGTCTGGAAGTGCTTTACACGCTGAAAAGCACCCTTTCAGAGTGTGTCATAATTCCAGACTATCATAATTCCAGAGGAAAATGCTACTTTTCCCCTGGTACACCAAGCTAAATCCAAAAACACTAGGGAATTTCTGAAACTTAGCATTCAGACAAACCAGCCATCAGTAGGCACAGAAACAAACCATTATTTAGATACCATTCAAGAAAGCCAATATAGCACTTAGCAACAGCAATAGCACTTAGACTTACATACCACTCCATAGTTGTTTACAGCACTCTCTGAGCGGTTTACAAATGTCAGCAGATTGCCTCCCACCGGCCGATACGCTCCCACAGAGAGGGCCTCCTCAGGGTGCCGTCAGCCAGACAGTGTCGGCTGGCGACCCCCAGGGG